ATATATACACACACACACACATACATGCATACTAAGCAACTATATATGTTGCTTAACTAAGATTAACATTTAAAAACATATATACAGCGGTGCTTAATAAGTGAATGAAAAAGTATAATGCTTTTGACTCATTTGTTTAATTGGGTTCTCTTTATCTAGTTTTAGGACTTGTGTGGAGAACAGATAACGTTTTAGGTCGTATTTTTGCAGAAATATTGAAAATTCAAAACGTTTCGTAAGCTTTTAAGCACCACTGTATATGTCATTTCATATGGGATAATAGAATGGGGTCTATTATCCCATATGAAATTAAACAGAGCTAAAGACATGTAGAAATATACACACATATATATATATGCATACATGTCTTTAGTCTGCTTAATTTCATAAGGGATAACAGAGCCCCTTCTGTTCCAAAAAGCCAAGAGACAAAAATGCATTGTCTTCTCATGGCAATCTTTACCGATGACTGCTTCTGGAAGCAGCTTAGGTAGGTAAATCATGGAAGATTTAATTAATTATTATTACTTAAGATGTTTGTTCTAACAATCAGCTTGGACATACCTGACGTAAGGTGCGGGCTACCAAACTTTCTAGTACGGGTCCTCTATCTTCATGGAGCAGGTGTACCTCATCAAGAATAAGGAGTTTCACTAGTTGGGAAAGAGCGACATCTCCAACACTCTTCCTTGTCACAACATCCCATTTTTCTGGAGTGGTCACAAGCATCTGAGAATGCAAAAGACATAATAATAATAACAACAACAACGTTGAAGTTTTTAAATTTATTTTTCAGTGCCTTGCTGAGATGTTAAGAACAACTTTGAAAATTAATGAAGCTAAGCAGATCAACTTAAATTACAACATTAAAACTTTCTTCTTTGCAACTGAAACTCCAATAGAAAGCCTATTCACGAAGTACAGCTAATAATGAACTCTTTTAAAAGATGCCCAATCCCTGTTATCTTCATGTCTAGCCATTTCAAATGTGCACCTGCAACTTCTCACTTATTAAAACATTTCTATCTCACACTTCAGTTGGAAAGGCTCCCTGTGTTGATTAGAGATTAATGAACGGAGACCATTCCTCTATTGTGCTTGTGTTAATCTAAACAGTTACAACACAAAAGGAAAATTATAGTGGAACTTGTTTATTGGGACGGCTGAGATTGGCTCCTCTTTCTCTCCTTCAGTTCTCCTTTTAGAACATTAGTGGATAATCACTGGGAGAAACAAAGCCTAGCCTTGCTCAGCTGTCAATGGCTTGTCCCTCTGTAACTTTCAGAAGGGCATCTAGCAGCTAAGGTCCAAAACTGTAATCTGGAAAGTACCTAGAAAAAAATGAACCAAACAAAGTGTCCCAACTCAACTAGGAATGCAAGATTGCCCGTGCTGCCTGGGCTATGTTTGAAGCTTATTTGCACATATGCATAAAAGCTGATTCTGCTACCAATCTCTTAAAATGTCAATATCGTTGTATTAATACTATGGAATTTCAATCACATACTCCAGAAAACAGACTAAAACCTGGGCACTTAACTACTAAAATTTAAGAGTTGGTATTTGTTGCGCATTTGCATCCCTGTAGCAGAAATGATAAATCACTGTCTTGGAAATAATATATCTCAGGCTTCAAGGGCATATGAAAACTAATATCCATTTAATAACTTCACATTCAAGAATTATCTTATGAATAAAATGGAGAAAACTGTTTTAATTGACCCTTAGTACTTCACAGTATTTGCAGGTTTAAGACACGAAAAAAATCAAGGAAGCGGTCATAAAACCTATAAGGACAAAATGCAGCTCATGTTTATTAACAGCTGATTTGGGATGGAATTTTCTTGCTGCACTTGCACATGATTTAAACTGGCTAAATCTTTTACTCAGTATGGTTGTCACAAAAGCTAGAAGTTTATATGTTACACATTTAGACTTATTAGAATGAAGGTATGCCAAAATGAGCTAGACAGCCAACATCTGCTCAATAGCAAAAACAAAAGACAGAAATATGTAGCTTTGGCCAACTTATCATATCCATCCCTTTCTAATCATATAGAAAGCATCTGAAAAATTCAACCACTCTCCTTCATTCCAGGACAGCTAATATTGTTTAAGTCACAAGACCCAACTCATAAACCATTGTTAAATGTTTTTGCGTAGACTGATTTATATTTCAAGAAGAGTTTAAAGAAACTTTCATATATCAGAAGTGTCGTAAAATATTACATGATTGGGCAGGGTGTACTGGGGGGGGGGGGGGGGAGGGAGAGAGAGAGAGAGAGA